TTGATTGAAGAACAAGAAAATATGAGGATCAAATTTGATTTTATTCTAAACATGAAATGAGCATGAAATGAATGTAAATTTGACATGGGATGGAAAATGTGATGTAAGGTCGGATATGAGTTGCAATGAAAAATGGGATTTAATGAGAGCTGAACATGGATAAGATTTTTTTTTATGCAATTTTTATAAAGTATAAGACAATGAAAGATAGTAATGCTTGAAATGTAAGATGGAAGATGCAATGCAAACTGCAAGTGAATGAAATTTTCATTTTCATTTTTTATTCACTTGTTTTTGAACTATGAGATGGAAATAGTGGTGGTTGGAATGAAATATGTGATGAAAAGTGAGATGTGAAATGGATATGGGAGAAATTTTCATTTTCATGCTTCCTTCTTTTTTTTTGTTTTTCTCGAAATGTGAAAAGGATGAGATGAAGAAATATAAAAGGAAAACTAGCACTATGGATAAAATTTTCATTTTTTCATTTTTCACCATTTTTAAATCTTTCTTATGCAACTTTTATGAAATATGGGAAATATGAGATAGAGATAATAATGCTTGGAATGAAAATTTGAGATAGAAAATGCAATGTGAAATGCATGTGAATGAGATTTTTTTTTTTTTTATGCAATTTTTATATGAAATGGAAGATGTAATGTAATGAACATTGATGGAATTTTACTTCTTTTTTGCAATTTTTTTGTGAAACATGAGATGAAAAATGGGATTTAAAAGGAATATGATGGAGAATGCCCCATGAACATGAAAACATATTTTGTGATGCATAAGATGGAGAATGCAATACAATGGACATACGTGAAATTTGCAAGACATATGGAGGATTTAATGTGAAACGAATAGGATGAATATATGACATGCAAAACAATCATGAACTTTTTCTCTTTTTTTTTTTTTATGCACGGGGTTGAAAGTGAAGATACAAAGTGCATGGAATGCTCCTTACGTCAAGAATGATGTCTAAATGCAGAAGATGAATAGCTAATCATACCTCAAATGCATATAAGAACAAAAACCTGTCATGTGCGGAGACAAAGTTAGTGAAGAAAAATGCCCCTTGTGTCTTAGACACGGGATCCCTAACCTCACGGGTGGGATGCTAAGGGAAACATGTCCTAGGGTTGGTATCTCTTTAAGGCCATTACATGTTTTCTTAAAGGGCATTAGGCCTTCTCAACCATTTATCCTTTTGGAATCAATAGGAGATATTTCCCAAAGCTAATACATAAAATGATATTACATCATCAAGTGTCGTATTAACCAATGGAAACAACCTAATGGGAATCAATCTTACTCCTCAAAGCGGGAAGAATTGCTCTTCCAAGCCAGATTCATAAGGATTCCAGACTAGAGGTCGGGTTCACCTCCGACACGGACCTAATGCAAAATGAGAGTGAGTGTGTGCAAGGGGCATGACACTCCAATAACCTGCACAATGGCAACCACAAAAATAGCAACATATATCCCACAACAATCAAATAAAGCATATAAAACATTCAACAAATATATCACCCACAAACAAACCTACTTACACAGCAGGAAGGGGCTCACCTAGTACTCCCATGCCAAATGCAAAAGGTTAGTAACACAAAGCAACCAACACTTAGCATGCAACAAGATATAAATAATCACACAAGAGGGAAGAAACTCACTGAGTACTCCATAGCCAAGTGTAAAAGGTGAGTATATCCACACGCAAACAAGTAGGCATATAGGCATGATGCATGATAAATAAGCATGTTATATCAATGATGGATGAGCATTTGAGATGATATGATGCATGAACATGTTAGCAACGTATGATGCATGTCAAGATATAGCAAGGTAACTACTCAAAAACAAAAAGGATCAAAGCAACCACTAAAACAATGAGTAAACAAGCATAAGCAGCCAACAAGAAGCAACATACGACAAGCACATACAATAAATAACAAAGACCCACAAAG